CCCCCCCCCACCCCGCCCCCACCCCCCCCACCCCCCCCACCCCCCCCACCCCCCCACCCCCCCCCCCCACCCCCCCCCCCCCCCCCCCCCCCCCCCCCCCCCCACCCCCCTCCCCACTCCCCCCCACCCCCCACTCTCACCACCCCGACTCCCTCCCCCTTATTTGCAAACTCAATGCTTGCCTCTAGGTTTCAAAAAAACTCATATGCTTTGAAACAAGCTTGCACGGCTTTCAGAAGCGGGGGGTTGGGGGGGGCGCAGCCCCCCCCCATTTGAAAACTCAATGCTTGCATCATGGGTTTCAAAAAGACTCTTATGCTTTGATGCAAGCTTGCACGGCTTAAAAAAGCGGGGGGGTTGGGGGGGGCGCAGCCCCCCCCATTTGCAAACTCAATGCTTGCATCATGGGTTCCAACACCGGGGGGGCCATTTGCAAACTTAATGCTTGCATCATGGGTTTCAACAAGACTCATATGCTTTGACGCAAGCTTGCACGGCTTAAAAAAGCGGGGGGGTTGGGGGGGGCGCAGCCCCCCCCATTTGCAAACTCAATGCTTGCATCATGGGTTTCAACAAGACTCATATGCTTTGACGCAAGCTTGCACGGCTCAAAAAAAGCGGGGGGGTTGGGGGGGGCGCAGCCCCCCCCATTTGCAAACTCAATGCTTGCATCATGGGTTTCAACAAGACTCATATGCTTTGACGCAAGCTTGCACGGCTCAAAAAAAGCGGGGGGGTTGGGGGGGGCGCAGCCCCCCCCCCATTTGCAAACTCAATGCTTGCATCATGGGTTTCAACAAGAATCATATGCTTTGACGCAAGCTTGCACGGCTCAAAAAAAGCGGGGGGGTTGGGGGGGGCTGCGCCCCCCCCATTTGCAAACTCAATGCTTGCATCATGGGTTCCAACACCGGGGGGGCCATTTGCAAACTTAATGCTTGCATCATGGGTTTCAACAAGACTCATATGCTTTGACGCAAGCTTGCACGGCTTAAAAAAGCGGCGGGGTTGGGGGGGGCGCAGCCCCCCCCATTTGCAAACTCAATGCTTGCATCATGGGTTTCAACAAGAATCATATGCTTTGACGCAAGCTTGCACGGCTCAAAAAAAGCGGGGGGGTTGGGGGGGGCGCAGCCCCCCCCATTTGCAAACTCAATGCTTGCATCATGGGTTTCAACAAGACTCATATGCTTTGACGCAAGCTTGCACGGCTCAAAAAAAGCGGGGGGGTTGGGGGGGGCGCAGCCCCCCCCATTTGCAAACTCAATGCTTGCATCATGGGTTCCAACACCGGGGGGGCCATTTGCAAACTTAATGCTTGCATCATGGGTTTCAACAAGACTCATATGCAATGCTTGCATCATGGGTTTCAACAAGCATATGCTTTGACGCAAGCTTGCACGGCTCAAAAAAAGCGGGGGGGTTGGGGGGGGCGCAGCCCCCCCCATTTGCAAACTCAATGCTTGCATCATGGGTTTCAACAAGACTCATATGCTTTGACGCAAGCTTGCACGGCTTAAAAAAGCGGGGGGGGGGTTGGGGGGGCGCAGCCATTTGCAAACTCAATGCTTGCGCATACTACATATATACACTCCACGTATTTCTACCAGCTACAGCTACATCGCGGTAAAAAGAATCTTTGCGACTGGGGAGAACAGGGAAATCAAAACGAAGTCGGCACCCAAGCCAGGCCAAGCCGAGCCAAGCCACGCCGAGCCAAGCCAAGCCAGCCAGGCCAAGCCAAGCCCAGCCGAGCCCACCCGAGCCAAGCCAAGCCAGAGGACAAGCCGAGCCAAGCCGAGCCAAGCCCAGCCGAGCCAAGCCAAGCCAAGCCGAGCCAAGCCAACCAAAGCCAAGCCAAGCCAGACAAGCCGAGCCAAGCCAGGTCAGAGGACACGCCCAGCCAAGCCAAGCCAAGCCAAGCCACACCTTTGCAAGGGGACAGGGCCGAGCCACACCTTTGCAAAAAAAAAACCCGGACCCCCCTAAACCCTAAACCCTAAACCCTAAACCCTAAACCCTAAAGGTAGTGCACAAAGCTTTGCAGAGTTTAGGCTTTACTTTGCGCCTTGACAAGATCCAACGCCAAAGCCGTTGTTGTGAGGCTCTTGCCAACCTTATCACGAAACTTTAGGGTTTAGGGCTTAGGGTTTAGGGTTTAGGGCTTAGGGTTTATAGGGCTTGGGGTTTAGGGAACTCTCAATAACCCTTATGTTTTCTCAACCCAGCTGACACCGCAGATCCTCAAGCCCGCAAACCTGCCACGCTACAAACGAGTCAGATCTTTGTGTTCAATACAGCTCTACATACAAAAGGAGACGCCGAAAGGGACCATCATGTTTCCCTAAACCCTAAACCCTAAACCCTAGACCCTAGACCCGAGACCCTAAACCCTAAACCCTAAACCCTAAACCCTAAGCCCAAATGAGGGGTGCACTTCGTCGAACTGGATGTCACGCTCCCTCCTCGGCGAGGGAAGGCTCTGGCTGCAACAGTCCGCTCATCGAAACGTATGCATATGTCACACAGACAAAATGTGTATATGTACATACACAGGACATGAGACAAGGCGAAAAAGGGTAGGTCACTGGGGGGGGGGGGGTACCATATATATATATATGTATGTATGTATGTATACAATATGTAAATAAACTTGCACAAGGAATCATGAGCATCAGTCTTCACACCGTTTTGACACCATGTTGGTGTAGTACGATTGATCACTGGCCGCTAGGTATCTGACAGTGTCTTGGGTTTCGGGCGCACGTCCGAGTGTTCAGGGCCCGGGGGTAGTTCTTAAACCCTAACCCTAAACCCTAAACTCTAAGCCCTAAACCCTGAACCCTAAACCCTAAACCCTAAACCCTAATCCCTACGAACCGAACAGCCACCACACGCGCCGGCGCCACCTCGAGCTTAGGGCTCAGGATTTGGGACCTTCACTTTCAATTCCTCTTTCTTTCCTAAATACCATATTCTGAAGAGTTAACAATGACGGAACAAAAAAAACTATAAGAGGAGTTAAAACAAGGAGAATAGTAACAATGACATACTGGTAGTAACACTACTAATCGTAACTGGGCACCTTAACTTCCAGAGCACAAGGGTATAGAAGTGTCACAACGGCATCGCCTCGTCAGCGCTCCCGCCCTAACACCCGGAACTTCCCCAAAAACAACGAACAGGAGCTCGGAAAATCTCACAGACTTTTCTGATGCCCTTCAAACCCCTACCATGTAAATGCAAGAGAAACTGGCCAGCAAAAACCATTCTAATCAAGTAGGCCTCATTTTGCTCCAAGTTCCTGGAAAAACACGCAATTGCATCGCAATTGCACGGGTAGTCTCGCTCCAGACATTTTTGGTCGCACCGCCAAAAGCCATGTCTGAAAGTGGCCCTACATGACGAAGATGGCGTAGTCGTAGTCGTACCCGGAAGAAATGGTCCAGGGACAGCAACCGTTGCATTTGTGGTCGGAGCCGATGAGGCCGCCGATGTCGCTGCTGGACCTGCCCCATAATCCCTAAACTCTAGATAGGAACACGTTCTGCGAGATGAAAAGATACGAAAACACTCTAGAACCTCGAGCCCTCAAACCCCTAAACCCTAAACCCTCAAACCAGCAAAGCCCTAAGCCCCTTTTGCATCTGGCCTGCTGTGATCCTAAACCCCTAAACCCCTAAACCCCTAAACCCCTGAACCCCTAACCCTAGAGGAAACACGACATGCCATTAAAAGCTTCATCAATCCGAGGAGCCCATGGACAGATGAGCCGGCGGTCCGGATAGAAAGCAGCTTGAGGAAATCGCACGCATAGAGAACCCTCTCTCGGGAGGTTGCGAAACAGTGGCGCTCTGCTTCGGTTGCGGAGATGTACAGCGGGAAGTTGCACCCACATGACATGACCATTGCGCGATCACGATCAATGCGCTCCAGATGTCCTCGCTGTGGCCCCAAGATGTAGGCGATGAGCTTCTGTAGGGTTGTGAACTCACGAGCGTTGATGATGTACCGCCGGTTGCTTAGATACCAGGCTCGGCTTGCACAGGAGCGGCTCCGCCCCAGTGGTCGTGCTGCGTGCGCATCTCGCCATCGGCGGTGGGCCGATGGGAAGTCAAGTCGCAATTATTTTGGTCATACTGGTTCCCTAAACCCTAAACCCTGAACCCTGAACCCTAAACCCTAAACCCTAAACCCTAAACCCTAAACCCTAAACCCAAACCCTAAACCCTAAACCCTAGGGTTCCCAGGCCAGATCCAAGGTTCCTCCCACCTGCCCCGTTGTTGGTAGTGGAGATGCGGTTGAAGTCGTTGCCACAGAAGCCCGAGTTTAACGTAGAGTGCGCCTGTTCCGTCGTGTTCGCGATCAAGGGCTCCCACTCGACTTGAGGTTCCCCACGTCCGCGCATGTCCGCGCCAGTTGTCTGAGAAGAGATCTACACATTGTGCCCTTGTTGCAGACTCCCGGGACAAGCGTTGGCTTGATTGAACCAGTCCCGGAGTTCCAGGTTCGCCAGCCAAGCACCTTGCCCTCCTCGTGGCAGACGATCAGCACATCCTTGGCCACCGTCTGGCTGAAGACCTCCAGGTTCGTGTTATCTCGCACCTCCATGGGCCGACGAGGACTGCCAGAAGTCACTGTTGCCGTAGGCCACCACGTTGCCTCCGGTGTCGATGTTCAATGCCAAGAACCAGCTGCCGCTGGGCGAAGACAGGCCGGAGAAGTCCAAACCGGGGAATCCGCCCGTGGCTTTGCAGCAGCTGGCCACGCATTAAACCCTAAACCCTAAACCCAAAACCCTAAAGCCCGATTCTGCAGTAAGTAGTGATGAGGCACTCCATGTGAAGCAGGGCTCGCCACTCTTTGCGAAGCGCTTCAGGCTCGGTGCTCTGCGTGGCCATGAGGTTGGAGTGGAAGAGGCCTGCTTGTAGCACTCCTCCATTGCGCGTGTGAGCAAGAGTAGCCATCCATGGAATCCTGAACGCTGTCGCAATGCTCCTTCTGACTCATGTGGGCTGCGGCGGAGGCTTTGCAGCTTTTGGTCTTCGCTGTTCGAACTTCTTTTTGGCGCGCACTCCGTGCTCAGCATGTCCCACTTGGCAATGAGGGAGTGTGGTACCTTGAGAACCAAATGAACCCTAAAAGGGTTTATGGTTCATATACCCCAATGGGATTACAGTAGTATACTTGGAGGTTCATGGTACTTAATCACCACTTATAACTGTACTTATAACCCACTTATCAGCCCGTTTAAGCTCCCTAACATGGTTCTAAATACAGTTATAAATAGTTAAGGTTATATTTGGTTAATAAGTACCATGAACCTCCAAGGAGGGTATATGGGTCCCAATTTTAGGGTTCATGATGAACCCAAATCAGGAAAGCAAAGAGAAGGTTCCAAAAACCAACTTAGCCTGCTCAGAGGCCCCAGAGCACTGCGAGTGCAGCTCGCTCTTCGCCGTGAAGTCTGACTTGAGCTGCTTGGGGCGTTCTCTGTGTGCTTGTTCACCCCACACTGCTCGACAGTCTTCACGGACTCATCATCGTCGTCTGGATTCCGCTCACACTCTGCTTCATCGCCTTCACGGTTGCGATCATCTCAGCGACCTTCTTCACCAACTCCTTCAGTGCAGGGGAGTCCTTGGAGCGCATGGCTGCCGCGAGCATCTCCTCCATCCCGCTGGCCGCTTCAGGGTGGCTGCCTTGGTAGCCCAGTAGCCATATTCTAATAACGGTACCCTGTCTTGTGATTCGTTGCTTCATAAGGGAACCTTGAACCCCCCAAAACAAGGGTAAAAGGGCACCACTGGGCCACCAAGCTGCTGTTCGAAGGCACGAGCTTGTGCCTCGACTTCGGGGACTCCGAGGTGTCGAGCTGCATCGCGGCCCCCCCATAAGGCACATCGAGAGCATGAGCGCGGCCGTCTTCATTGCAGCAGGAAAATGCGAGAGGGCACAAGAACACTGATGCACTGAGCCCCTGCACCTGCTGTTTTGGGTTTTGGGTTTGGGGTTTAGGGTTCTCTCAAGCACCGGGCCCAAAAACCTCTGTAGGCCTCGGGCAATCGCTCCAAGCACGCTTCGAATCGGCGCCAATCCCGCCTTTCTGTGCGGAGGGCTTATAGGAGTTTTGTTCGCCTTAAGGCTTCAGGGCCCAAACCCGACGCCCTGAACCCCGAACAATTTTTGCAACAGGCTTCTGCGTATCCCTTGGATGCGACGCGCCTGTTCTAAGATTCCAAGGCCAGACACGCAACGAACTAAACCCTAACCCTAGAACGCTAAGCAACATGCTTGGGGCGATGTTGCGCCCGAGAATTCGGCGTGGGTTTCGGGTTTTCATGGCCCAGTTTTCCCGGCTCTGGGCTTCGCGTTGAGGATGGTTGGGAGGGTTTAGGGCTTAGGGTTTAGGGCTTAGGCTTAAGGTTTCGGGGGTAAGGGTTTTGGCTAAGGCTAAGGATTTGAGGTTCGGGTTAGGGTTTTGGTTGGGGATTTGGGTTCAAGGTTGGGTTTGTGGTGCGTGTGTGCTGCACCCTGAAACCCAACGCCCTCCACCCTTCCCTTCGGCATGTTGGGGTTTAGGGTTTAGGGTTTAGGGTGCAGGGTGTAGGGTCGCCAGGGGTATTGAAAGGCTCAGGATGTCTGTGCCACGCAGAATGGGGAGGAGGCTGGGGGACTTTGGGTGTAGGGTTTAAGGTAGCCTTTGTGTTCATATGGTTGATCAATTGAGGTTTACATTTGGAGCGCTAGGGTTCGGAACTGACAGCCAGGTGGCATTCCGGACTCTTTACAGGTTCGCAACATGCTCGCCAGAGCTCGTTTCCTTGAGACATGAACCCGAAAAGGGTCTATGATTATGGTTCACATACCCCAAAAAGGGTTATAGTAGTATAGGGTATATGGTCCAAATTTTGGGGTTCGTTGGTTCCCAAGGTTAGGGCTTCATTCTCGGATATGAAGCCCGACACCGACTGAAACTAGACTGCCCCGATCCTGGTCTCTCTCTCTCTCTCTCTCTCTCTCCCTGTCTATATGTATAGCTACCGTCTTATATCTCATACACCGTATGCTGAATAGTAAAGATTTATTCATGCATTAATTACACCCTCCCGTTTTCGACAGGCTTCCTGCAATCTGCCATCCTGGTTCCTGAACTCTCAATTCTTGAGGCGAGGCCTCCGCAGAAAGCGCCACAGCCACTTGTGGCCTTGGAAACTCGCAGGCGTGGCCGCAACAATGACTTTGTAGGGCTTAGGGGTTTTCGGGTCGTAGGGTTTAGGGTCAAATGAAAGGATGTCTCCCCAGCCCTGACCCCAAACCCTCTTGGTGCATCGGGGGCTCGCGGGCGTCATATCGAAGCACCCCGTCAAGCAGCACTGCTGACCGTCAATCCGCATAAGCGAAACTCCCGGCTGGGTCTTAAACTTCTTACAAGAGCCTTTCAGCATTAGGGTTTAGGGTTTAGGGTTTAGGGTTGAGGGTTTAGGGTTTAGGCAACCCAAAAGATCCTTCTTAAACACTTTGGCAGATGTCAGCACTGACCCTCGGCTAGAGAGTGTTGATTTCATGCTCCCGCGAACCTGGCATGGCCCTAAGCAACCACAAAGTTGTGGTTTAGGGTTTAGGGTTTAGGGTTTAGGGTTTAGGGTTTAGGGTTTAGGGTTTCGACTCTCACACTCGCAGGGTTTAGGGTTTAGGGTTTAGGGTTTAGGGTTTAGGGTTTAGGGTTTAGGGTTTAGGGTTTAGGGTTTAGGGCTTCAATGGCTGGGCACAAGTCCTACTACGGCAAGACTTCAGCTTTTCTTCGGGTCGTGGAGGGTGGGACTTGGGGTGTCCTCCCATTTTCCGAGGTGCTAAATCTCTTGCAGCCTACTGCGGCATAATCTGCGGTACGTCCGGCTGTCCGGAGCCACAAGGCTGTACACTGTACAAGCTCACTGACACCGCACCGAGTGGCTGCTCGGAAGTTTAAAACATGGTGTTGGCGGCACAAGATTCCGGGCTCCAACAACTCGACAATTACACAATACCTGGGACTTTGTTTACCTACAAGTTAGTAGAAACTCCCCTTTAATTGGTAGGTATAACCCATACAACTGTAGGTACAGAGGGTCTGAGGTAAACCGTGGAAAGGGATCTATATCTCAAGCCTAAGAACACCCGTTCCTGAACTCGACAGTCTGGGACTGTTTGGAACAACTGCGTAGCACTAAGGGGTCTAAAGCCCTCTACAGAAAGAACCCATGAACCGACGATCTCCATACCTTGACATGCCCATCAACGATTGCGCAAATCCACTCCGCAAGGGTACTTGCTGCTAAGTGCGACCTCCTAAGTCTTACTTCGGACCACCCACTAATTCTGAATCTTGTGCTCCGGTGGGGGAAACAAGACGCTGTGAGGCACGAGGCACACCTAACTTAGGCATGGTCATTTCGGCCTCCCTGCTTGTAGCCCAGGGCTTTCGCACGCTCGTAGGCGACGCACAGCCATGCCTGCAAGCCGTCCTCAAAGCCCGAGCTTGGCGCATTGTGTCGGCGGTTTTAAGTGGGTAATGCAGGTAAATCATTGCCAATATGGTCCCAAAAGAATTCAATCAAAAACCCTTTTGATACCAAACGACACTCTTCTGATCAGATGAGCCCCTATTCAATTCTAGCTCTTCGAATCAGATGTGCTTACGCCGTACGTGCTGGTGATGTCTACATCGCATGCTGCCCGTGGACTGCTAACGAACTCGGCGGTTACATCTTCTGCGTCCCGCTATGGATGCTATGGTTAGCCGCCCCAAACCCGTAAACTCTAAACCCTGCACCACAAGCCTGTCGCAACATCGCTAACAGTTCAAGTTATGACGCGGTAAGCTACACCGCAACCGGCCACAGAGGCCTATGCAACAAATTGCTTGACATGGTTTCGGGGTTTAGGGAGCTTGGGGGTCCTTTGGAGAACAAAGTCATGCGGGGATTTTCCACGGAAAAGCTCCGTACGACTAGTGAGGCTCCTGCGCAAGACCCCGAACGCTCGAAGCTGCATACCCACTGGATCTCACAAAGCTGGGGGTTTAAGGTTTAGGGTTTAATTAGAGCCTGGGGGGGCTACGGGGTGCTTGTGGGGTTTATGGAATCGAACGCAGGACTTGGGGGGGGGGGGGGGGGGGAAGCCCTAAACCCTAAACCCTAAACCAGAGATGGAACAACTGAGCTGCCATGTCCAAGTCGGGGAAGCCGATCATGTCCAAGAACTTCCTCCACGCCTCCTGCCCAGATCTTCCCAAAACCCTTGATTAAGGAAACCCAAAACCCTAAACCCTAAACCCTAAGCCCTAAACCCTAAACCCTAAGCCCCAATTCATATACTGATGATCCTTAGTATAACTTAGGGTTATCTTCCTTAACTAAGGCACATACCCTAATTCAGAACTATGATCCTTAGTATAACTTAGGGTATATTGGTTCATTAAGGAATAAATACCCTAACTCAGAATTATGTTCCTTAGTACAACTTCGGGTATGAAGACAATTCTGATCCTTAGTACAACTTATGGTATAAATTCCTCACAATTCTTGGCCGCACTTAGCAGGGAAGCTATAAATTTAATCTTTAGTTGTCTTATTCAGAAACCCAATAAACCCAAAAAGGCCGAGGATCTAAAGTTACAGTACAACACTACAGAGAATTCAGGGGATTTTCAAAGATCTGGGATCCTGCCCAGACATGGTGCGGATGTGGTGGACTTCGCTGAACTTGTCGAACCTGGCTTGCTTGCTTGCTAGAAACATTGAAAGGAGGTTTACAGGGTTTAGGGTTTAGGGTTTAGGGTTTAGGGTTTAGGGGAAAATAGGGGACCCCTTATCATAAGGCACCCCAAGAAGGTACCCTGAAGATCGTAAACCCAAATGACAACCTTATAAAGATTTCCTACCCGAACAGCCTCACAACTCGTCTCTAGCTGCATCCCCCAGATCGATGTGCTGAGCCAAGAAGCAGGGCCGAAGACATCTGTGGAGATGGAAAGCCGTAGCGTCTGTCATACTCCTCTTTGAGCTTTGACCAATCAGGAGGATCTTGGGCTGGACGCACCAAGGAAAGGAAGTACACTTGGAACATGATCAAGGTGTTGCCACGCCTGAATTCCCAGATGCTGGGTGCGGAGGTTTATGGGGTTTCTAGGGTTTAGGGTGCACCTTTTATAAGAACACAAAACCTACTTCTTTGTAGGTTCCAACCTGCAAACATGTAGGCTTTGGGTTCTTAAGGTAGGGCCTAGGGTAATGCGGTGAGTCATTTCCTGCCTGTTGGCATCCCACGCCACATCTCGCTGGCGCTCGGGAGTGAGAAAGAGCTCCACCTGCTTATACAGCGAAGCTTTTCTTGATTATTTTTTTGGAACATGATCTGAGAACAAACCTCGACAAGAACCCTACAACCTTTATGCCCTGGTCTCGGAGCACTATGAGGACCCTAAAACCCTTTTGAGCCTGGCGGCTGCTTGGGCCAGTGGTTGAAGCGTGATGCGCACCTACCTATACCTGGGACTCTCTTTACCCGCAGTTTCGTAGTAGCTACCCCTTGATTAGTAGGTAGAACCCATAGAACTGCAGGTAAAGAGAGTCCAAACCCTAAACCGTAAACCGCACCCTGAACGAAAGCACGCGGAAGGCCCACCTGTGGTCCCGAATCTTCCACCGCAGCGATCTCCACCTGCGAGGGCTGCTTTCCCTTAAACACCCTAAACCCTAAACCCTAAACCCTAAACCCTAAGCCCTAAACCCTAAACCCAAAACCCTAAACCCTAAACCCTAAACCCTAAACCCTAAACCCGCAATGGACATGCCAAAAGCTTGGGGTTTAGGGTTTTTTATCGGGTTCAGGCTCTGGGTGACAGCAGGCGGGGCCCAGGGTTTGGGGCTTCCGCAAGCGCCAAGCCCTGAACCCTGAACCCTGAACTCTTAGCCCTAAACCCTATAAACCCTAAACCCTAAACCCCAAACCCTAAACCCTAAACCCTGAACCCGTCTTGTGGCGGAACCGACAGGCGCGAACCTCGGCGTCGCGCCGCAAAGCCACGGCCGGGCAGAAGCCACCAGGGATTTGGGAGCTGTCGATGCGGAAGGCCACCTCATTTTCCCTAAACCCTAAACGCTAAATTTTAAACCCCAAACCCTAAACCCTAAAACCTCCAGACAGTGCAGACACATGCATGCTGGTGTGCAGATGCACAGGTGGCATGTAGAGAGATGTGTCGGCCGAAGCAGGTAACCTTTCTAGCTTGAACCGTCGATTCAGAAAATTTCGGACGGACTTTCAGCGTGAAAGACTGGGGCTGCAAGCTACAAGCTTTAAGGACGCATCATGTAGGAGCTTGAATATTTAGAATTGGGGTTTTGGGGGGTTATTATTATATGAATACAAAGGGACCATAAGGGCACTTTTGTAATTATTCGACCCCCTATACTAGCTTATGAGTTGAAAGGCTTTGGGTTTTTGGACTTGATGTATGGGGTTTTAGGCCCCATGTTCACACAACTCTGTTACGCTGCGGCCCAACCACGCCCAAATCCTCGCCGTTCAGCAGGAACCTGCTGGATGGGCTGTGGAAGAGGGCAACAGCACCCGACTCTACGTACCTTGAATATGAGTAGGAGCTCCCTCAAACCTAGGCTGCTCCTCCCCACAAGAACCCGGAACAGGGCTAGAGGCCTCAGCCAGTACATACGTGCTTGCGGCTAGACAAGCTCATGCTCATTTGCTCAAGGATGGCTTGTGTTGTTCTGTCGCTGGGGCTTCATTTGGGAGTTTACGAAAATAAGGGACCCCGAAGAAAGTCCCCCAAATTGTAGAATCCCCCTATAACAAGGACCCCTATAAGGTACGCAGAATGTCGTAAACCCCCATGTGGCCGATTCTACGTGAAGCCTAGGTGGTTCGCGCAAGACTGCTGCGGCAGCATGCGGCGACCGGCGAATGCTGCATGGCAATGGCACACGATTTGCGTGCAACCTACGACCAAGCAATTTGCACGTTGCTTCTTCGCTGCGAGCTTTTGTCAACCTGGACACTCTCAGGTGCTGCAAACCCTGAACCCCAAACCCTACACCCTATAAACCCTGAACCCTAAACCCTAAACCCTGAACCCTAAACCTCTGGGATCAACCCATAAGACGCAGCTCCAGGGAGTCCTTTTCTGAAGACCTACCTGGGACTCTATATACCTACAGCTTTAGTAGCAACTACCCCTTAATAGGCACAAACCACAAGAACTGTAGGTAAAGAGTAATCCCTCTAGACCGCAAGAAACACCGTGCCTGACGACACCGGGCTCGAGGACAGCCGTAATGGTGTCTCCCTCGCCGAAGGCTTTGCCGTAGCGGGTCCAGCGACCTCAGAATGCGATTGGATGTTCTAGTGCTCTGAATGATGGTTTGTTCTTTAGGGGTTACAGGGTCGGGTTGTTCCCCCTTCTACTAACAGTCCTTAATGGGGATTATGACAAGGGGTACTATAATCGCTATTAAGGAAGGCTAGTAGAAGAGGGGACATCATGGAACATCCCAAGTTGCAGGGTTAGGGGTTTGGAGGGTTTAGGGTTTACGGGGGCTATGGTTTTTTCTGCTACGCGCCGAGCTGAACTGAAGTCCACTTCGCAGGGTACATAGAATATTCAGTACTAGATACAGGCTGGGATGTTCCCCTTATACTAACAGTCCCTAATCGGCATTACAGTAGGCTGCTAACCCCAAACCCTAAACCCTAATCAAGTACTAGAATCCCAATTCAGGAACGCTAGTATAAGGGAGAACATCCTCAAGGTACGGGCTTTTAAAGTGGGGTGCATCCGTTCTTCCTCTGCTGTGCTCACCGACAACCCCAAATATCCACGGTTTAGGGTTTAGGGTTTAGGGTTTACACTGAAACGGAGAAGACGCCCGAGTCCCGAGACAAAGTCTCCACTCAAGCATCTTACATGGAAGAAACCGAGTGTACCTGTCTGGGCGCCACAACAGGTTCTGAGTCTTCGCACAAAGAGCCTTTGAAAGCTGTGAGGACTGAACTACAATCACAAGAATCAGAGAGGGATGTCATACACGAGAGCTCTGAACATGAACAAATACCGAAAGAGACAAAGGCTATGAATTACCCTCTCCTGTCTGAACTCAATGACTTACACAAACTGCGCAAAGTACTCGTAGGGCAGGGTTCCCCCTGCGCAACCATACAACCGTTAGCTAGAACACACTCACTCTACCTGTCTGGCTTCAGAAGAAGCGCCAACCGCATGATGCCTTTCTGATCATGTCCATCTACATCTTCAGCTTTCGGTGGTTGCGGGTTCGCTGCTTTGGCATGGGTTTTCGGGCGTCTCAGGGGCTCAAAGCAGGAGGCTGAAATCGATTTTTGAACAGGTGGTTCCTACGGAGGGTTTTCGAACAACCCTGAACCGTAGACCCTAAACCCTAAACCCTAAACCCTAAACCCGAAAACTTCTAAAGGCTGGGTAAACGGGTAAACCTCAAATCAGGTCCATGCTGAGAGGCCATCGTGAGCCTTCCAGCCGTAGCCACCTGCGTCACAGATCGGCATGGGAGCCATGGGATATACAGGTTTTTCTTTTTGGTTTAGGGTTTAGGGTTTAGGGTTTAGGGTTTGGGTCCGTAAAAGATTTTTTTTGAACAAAACACAGCAGAGCCGTTAGAAGCTACCGACCTACCTGGGAGCGGGCAGGTACGCACAAAAGCCTTCGGGAAGCGTTTGGGGAGCCTTATTAGGGAGTAGTGGGAAGTGTTACGGAACCTTGGGTTCCCCCTGAACCCCCGTCCCTTAGGGTTTAGGGTTTAGGGTTTAGGGTTTAGGGTTTAGGGTTTAGGGTTTAGGGTTTAGGGTTTAGGGTTTAGGGTTTAGGGTTTAGGGAATCCTAAACCCAAAAACCCTACCCTGTCATCAAAGTCCCCCCCCTGAACCCTCTTCAGGGCCCCAAAAGGTTTTCGAGGCGTAGGGCAACAGAAGCCAACTTGGCAGCGAGCGAAAACGAAGGCAAGATGGGGCTGGTTTAGGGCTTAGGGTTTATAGGGTTTAGGCTTGAGGGTTTAGGGTCAGGGTTTAGGGTTTAGGGTTTAGGGTATAAACGTAACATAAATTGTCTTTATCATTATATAGATGCTGCTCAACCATTCATCTCTGCATCCATGTCTATGTCCATGCATGCATCTAGACATGTCAACGCCGCTGGGGATTTAGGACGGGAGGGCTTCGTTTTTCAGAGGGCTCAGGGCCGGATGTGCATGAGAGTTTCGCTCCCAGGGTGTGGACTCCACGTGGCTTTTGTAGTAAGGTCACCTTTTGAGGTTGCTATTCTAAGGCGGTCCCCTACTATTTAGGATACCCAAAACAGGGACCACAATTCTGAGAACTCACCATAAGGAGCTCTTTTATAGGCTTGTTGACCTACTCGACAATGCCTTCCTCGACAATGTCAGGCAAAACCCCTCGTCCGGGGCGCAGCATTTGGGGATTCGAAGCCTCAATTTGGGTCCCTGGTTTTATAGGGTTTAGGGTTTAGGGTTTAGGGTTTATAAACCTTCTTGTATGGTCAGTTTTCTAAATTACGGTCCCTTTTGGGGTGCCCTAATAAGAGGGGCCAGCATAGAAGAAGGACCAAAAAAAAACCATGCTTTAGAGGAGTGACCATATAGACTACATAGAATGAGGGACCCCATACTTCGGATCCCCATAAACTTAAGGGTAAGGGGACCCCACACGAAGAGCTCATGATTCCAACCTTTGAAGTATAGGATTGACAGGGTTTAGGTTTAGGGTTTAGGGAGTTTTGGGTTTAGGGTGCTTGGGGTGGTCTTAACACAGGCGTGACGCGTCACCACAAAATGGAAGCCAAACCTCCAAATTCTTTGTGGCACGCCCTGCATACTTCCAGAAAGCCCAGTACCCCCTTGATTTAAGAAAAGCCCTTCACCCGCGGTAACTAGCAGGCCATCCCGATTCGAGCTGTATGAGGTACAGCCCTGAACTTCTTAGGAGGCCGTTGGGCTTTGGGGATGCTGACCCTTGCGCACTAAGAGCCGGGCCGAAACAGGAGTTGGAGGCATGGTACCCCCAGCCCAGGGACGTTGCCCCCACGAGCTTATCTCCCTCCTTGCCGGACGCATTTAGGAAAGGTTCGCGGCTGCAGGGGGTGGTGTGGGGCTGAAGGGGCGAGAATCTCAAACTCAGCAACTCAGCAACTCTGCAACAGCCACGCCCTTACCACATTCTGGGCAGCAGGATTCCTGGGTGAAGATGGCACACCTCGATCTTCTCTACTTTTAAGGAAGGGATGCTGCTCAGCTCATCCCGGGATGCGGGTCAAAGCTTGCTTCCTGTGTCGGTCCTCGGCAACCCAGCCGACCCGCACTGCACTGCCGGCAGGCAGGCGACGCACGTGGACGGAAAAGGCATGGACACCTCAAGAGAAGCAAAGGCTCTCGCAATCAACTTTGGCTTCAAGTGGGGAGAGGCAAACCAGAACAGCATGACTCTTTCTCTCTCTCTCTCTTTCTCCGTCTAGGTCTCCCTGTCCCTCCCTTCTCCGTCGTAGCAACTCTGCGCGCAACAGTGCATTCTGACAGCAACGTTCAAGACTGCACCAACCCTAAACTACCGGTTCCAACTGCCTTTTTCTATTGCGAAAACAGCGCGCACCCCCACACCCTTAAAACCCAAAAGCCCAAAAAACCTAAAACCCCAAAATCCTAAAGCCCAACACCCTAAAGCCCCAAAAAACCCTGAAACCCTAAAGCCCCCAAAACCCTGAAACCCTAAAACCCTAAAATCCCGGACTCGAAAACCCTCTCTCTCTCTCTCTCTCTCTCTCTCTCTCTCTGTCTCTCTCTCAGGTACTCGACAGCCCTAAAACCCAAGCCGCAAATTCCAAACACTACTGTAAGAACCCAAAACCAACGTTTTTTGTAGGTTGTTGTGTTCATACCCTAAGATAAACCCGAGATTCTAGGGGCTAGAAAGCCCAAACCCCAAATCCCAAACCCTAAAACACTACCTAGACCCAAGAGTAACCTTGGAATGAAACGGATGCCCTTCAAAGGGGCTTCTACGAGAACCTAAATCCATAAACAGGGGAACAAGGGCCTACTCTGGGTCCTAGTAGCCCTAAACCCTAAACCCTAAACCCCAAACCCTAAACCCTAAACCCTAAACCCTAATCTCTTTTGCATATCAAACCCCTACAGCGCCTTCGCCACCTCGCGGCCGGCCCAAGAGGCGGCTCCACCCGCGGTTGGCCCCGCGCCAGGCGTTCGGGGCCTGCCCAAAAGTTTAGGGTTTAGGGTTTAGGGTTTAGGGCTAGGGTTTTGGGGTTTGGGGTTTGGGGTTTGGGGTTTAGGGTTTAGGGTTTAGGGGGTTTCGGGGGTTTAGGGTTTAGGGTTGCGTTCAGCGAGCTTCGGCTTCACGTATACGGTCAGGCCCGAAATAAGCCCAAAGAAAGGCTGTGCAAGAATGCATTTCTTTCAGGTTTTGGTCTGCAGGGCCTATACCCCCGAAACCCCCCCCCCCCCCCCCGAAGAATGGCATGCAGTATGTCGGCTCTTACTGTTGAGTGAGTTCGGGCAGAAGGGCGGCGTGGGGGAGGGGGGGGGGGGTCTGGTAAACCTGTAAGGCCTGATTCCTAAACCCTAAACCCTAAACCCTGCTTGCATCAGGCTTGAGGTTTAGGCAGCGGCGCGCCAGCTCCGTCGCTGCCGTGGTGGGAGCCTGCCGGTCGCTTCCCGCAACCTCGGCTAGCTGATGAGAGCACGAGGAGCAGGAACTAGGTATTTGAAGTGGTGGTTGCCCTAAACCCTAAACCCTAAACCCTAAACCCTAAACCCCAAACCCTAAACCCTAAACCCATGAAAGAAGTAGTGATTACTTTGCAAGAAAACTGCAAGTAGCAGTGCTAAAAATCAAAGCATTGGGGTACTCATACAGGCTTGGATGTTTTGGAAGGAATTTAGGCTTTTAGGTTTAGGGGTATAGGGCTGTTGGGGCCTAACGCGCAGGGGCTTAGGGTTTGTAGTGTTTGGGGTTTTGGGCTTGAGGTTTAACTAAGGTTCATCGGACCCAGGCGTATGTAGGGCTTCGGGATTATAAGGGTTTAGGGCTTACGTTAGGGTCTTACTCCTATTTGCTTCAGAACCGCCCAAAAAACACAAGATAAAAATCCCGATATTACCCTTATCAGGAAGAATATGTGTTTTTGACGGTTCTTAAGCACATAGTAGTGCAGAGCTTCTTCGAGAAAACCACCTCGCTGGGAGCCCAGGTGCTCCGGTTTCGGCACCCCACTCGCTGTCGGGGATGTGAGCTTCCTCCCTGGACTCCTGGTCCGGCAGGGTCGGCCGGTAGCTCCTCGGCTTTCCGAAGCCCTAAACCCTAAACCCTAAACCCTAAACCCTAAATCCTAAACCCTAAACCCTTTAACCCTAAACCACAATGGGAAATATCCCAAGCTTGCAACCGACGCCTGTGATGGCTTGGAGGGGGCGGCCAAGGTGAGGAACTGGGACTGAAGAGTTTTACTCTTGGGGTTTAGGGGCTAGAGCTTAAGAGTTTTACTCTTGGGGTTTAGGGTTTAGGGTTTGGGGTTTAGGGGTTCAGGCTTTGCTCGAACTGCTCGAAACGTCCCATCACAGAGGAAGGATGCAGAGATTTCAGGGTTTGTATTTCGATGGCCACCCCTGCTGGAATTGTGTGTGCCAGACTGGATCCCAAAATAGCTCTGAAAGGACTGAAAAGAACTTGTGCTTGAGGTTTAGGGTTTAGGGTTTAGGGTTAAGCGTTTAGGGTTTCCCTGTCCATCGTGTGCCGCCATGCAGTTCTTTGCTTAAGCGCTATGCGGTGATGGTAGAAGGCGCCTTTCCTTAAGGGCAAAGCCCTGAACACACCTTGAGCCGTGAACCCTATCCTGACTCTGCTCAAGGGTCGGGTACTTCGGGAGGATAAACTGCACCTCTCTTGCCAGCGCCTCCCTCAGAAACTGGTCCTTGACCCGATCCTGGTCTCAGACGTGATGGTTCGGGCAAAAACAAGGTCTACCAGGTGGGGCCCCCTCACCATACTACTTATAGTTAAGGGACCTAAAGCCTAAGCTAGGATCCTGAAAACCCAATCTAGGGTCCGTATACATCTACTTATAACTAGGGGGGGGGGGGGGCCCTCCTTGTACAGTCTACAGTCGGTAGCACCTAGTTAGGGATGCTCAGGGTTTATGGCTCTCCGCTTTTGGCGCATGGAAGTTTAGATTTTCGAAGCTTGCGGCTTTGCAAACCGTACAGGAGCGCCAGCCACGCACACCTGGTTATCTCTGTTTACCCCCAATCCCAAACCCAGCGAAACCCCAGACCTCCCTAAACCCTGCCTCGTCAGACCACAAACATGCTAAGCCCTAAACCCCACGGAAATCACACCTTAGGGCTAAACTCGTAAACGCCACCCTCAACCCTTTAGCCACGGACCGAGGGCAAGAAGCCCTAAACCCCATTGAAGCCTAAACCCTAAACCCTATAAACCCTATACCCTAAACCCTAAACCTAAACCCCCCTACTTTTGGGACCCGGAGCTTGCTGAAGCTACACCCAGGCACCCAGCCGATGTTCGACACTGTCAGAAGCTGCAGGATGTAGGCGAGCCAGGGAGTCGCCTTGAACATAAAAGAAATTAGGCGGGTTTAGGGTTTAGGGTTCAGGGTTTCTGGTTTAGGGTTTGGGGTTATAGCTGGACGAACCACTCCGGTTTTTAGGGTTCAGGGCTGAGGGTTTGTGGTATAACCATATCAACATACAAGAGTTATCAACAATCATGAATTTACACATATAGCGTAACACTGTAGCCATTTACGCACATCAAATCTACCCGTATGAACATCAAGTATAGTAACAGAGCGAGGCCCTTGGTTAGGGTTCGCGTTTCTGGTGAAGCTTTTTGAAACTTCTTCGCTTCGTGCTTCGCCCGAGGCCTAAAGCTGTTGTTGTCGTGCTTCGCCAATGCGGAAAGCGCCCGAGCCTGAAAGCCCTTGCATGGGGCATGGGCAAGCCAGCGCGCCAACTCTTACTTCGGAGGGCGGCGCCAAAGGAATGTAAGAAGATAAATGCTACAACAGAACAAAGTTCATAATAATGCAATATAACATTATTAACACATCATCTTACTCTTACTTCGGCCGTGCGTTCTCAATGCTCCCTGCCCGCCTGCTTGGTGCAGCCCTCGTCCGAGCCAATGAACTCCTTCCGGTAACAAGGAGCAACCCTAAACCTAACAATGTACCAGCTATCATACTATAACTTTCCCCCCTAAACCTGACAATATACTTAGGGTCCAGGGTTTCGGGTTGCGGGTTTCAGGCGTGCGAGCCCTGGCTCTACAGACTCCAATGCCAGGGGCCTTACGCCTGCTGCACCCCAATTTCCCCTTACTGTGCCCTTATGGACGAAAATGCGCCCTCTAGGCCGAGAGTTGTCGGTCACGCCAAAACCCTAAACCCTATAAACCCTGTAAACCCCGTAAACCCTCTAAACCCTCTAAACCCGCACAAAACCGTATGAACCCTATAAACCCTATAACCTGTAAACCCAATAAACTCTACAAACCCCATAAACCCGAAAAGCTCTATGAACCCTATCAACCCTGAACGCCCGATGGACGCTATAAGCACTATAAGTCCCCAAAACCGATAATCCCATAATATCTACAAACCCTATATAACCCTATACACGCCCATATAACCCTATGCAACCCTTTAAGACCCCATATAACCCTATATTCCCAATATAACTCGATATAAAACCATATAACACTATATGACCCCATGTAACTTCATGTAACCCTATGTAACCCTATATAACCCTACTCAACCCTAACCCTAAACCCTAAACCCTAAACCCTAAACCCTCACAGCGCGGCTTCCTGCAGTGCCAAGTCCGCCGCTTCGCGCACCACAGGCCAACGATCACAGCAGTGGAGGAAGAGGCGGTGCATCACCTGAGGTTATAGGTTTGTAGGGGAATTAACAGGGTGATATATTCGGTTTTCTGGGGTTGTATAGGAATTATGGGGGTTATAGGGTTTATAGCATTTACAGGGTCTGTGTCCTAAACCCCAAACCCTGAACCCTTTGACATGTGGTGGCAGCGCAAGGTGTTGGCTCGCCTCAGAAGGAGACTGTGCCACCTCAACCTATCCTTCAGACCACAAAAGTAGGATTTAGGGTTTAGGGTCGTGACCCCGCGATCCCACATGTCAACCCCCAGAATAGAATTAGGACGGGCTCAGGGCCCTTGCCTTGGCAACCTCACATCAGCTTAACAAGAAAATGCCGCCGCTCGCGGACAAGGCAAAGGGCCCATGAAGCTTGTGGAGCCCTACATAGCCTGAGCACTTCTCAAATCTCTAAGCAATATTGCACATACCCCTTGGGCTGAGGGGTATGGAAAAAATGTGTGCCCTTGTATTCGCCTGTTATAGGTTAAGGGGTACGGGTTTGGAGTATCCTGAATTATTCCCTAAACCCTAAACCCTAAACCCTAAACCCTGAACCCAAAACCCTAAACCCTAAGACTCTAAGAACATCATGGCCATGAAGCGAAATAGCCCTTCAAGAGCTTGAGGGACGCATGGCGGTCGCCATACAAGACCTGCATGTTGGGGAGTGGGTCTTCTAGGGTTTAGGGTTTAGGGTTTAGGGTTTAGGGTTTAGGGTTTAGGGTTAGGGTTTAGGGTTTAGGGTCTTTGGAGCGCAGAACTCCACAAACTCTTGGGCCATCTATCTATCTGCCTACTTTACCTGGGACTCTATTTACCTACAGTTTCGTAGTAACTACCCCTGAATTAGTAGGTCGAAACCTTAAAACTGTTGGAAAGGTACGTGTACGCTCCTGCTCTCTCTTCTCTCTCCCCGTATGTATATATATATATATACATACATACACATCATTCAATTTTAGGGGCTGAGGCTGTTCTACCTTGAAAAACAAATGAACCCTCAAATTGGGACTACACACTCTCTACTACTATAATCCTTATTGGGGTATATGAACCATAAACCCTTTTAGGGTTCATTTGGCTCTCAAGGTAAAGAGCAACCCAAAGCGTCGGGGTTTCCCTCAACCCAAACCCCGGGTTTCAAAGCCGGGGTATTTTTGGGGCGACCCAAAAGCAGACCTGCCTGGGACTCTATTTACCTACAGCTTAGCAGCAGCTATCCTTAAGTTAGTAGGTAGAACCCATAAACAAGTCCCAGGTCAACCCTAAACCCTAAACCCTCACCCCTAAACCCACCTGCTTGAGCAGCTGGTGCATGATCTCAGGGAGTGCCACAATAGCATCCACCGCAGGCTGCGGGGCGTCCCGCTCGCGCAGGAGTCGGAAGACCGGCGGCGGCAAGTGGGAATCCTCTCCTTGACCAGCGGGGAGGTTTAAGATATGAGGGTTTCCGAGAATAGGGGGTTCGCTTCCCTGCAAGAAAAAAACAACCCTCAACTCTAAACCCTAAACCCTGCCTGGACTCGATTTACCTACAGTTTGGTAGTACCTGCCCCTTAATTCGTAGGTAGAGCCCATAGAACTGTAGGTAGACAGTCCCAGGCAAACCCTAAACCCTAAGCCCTAAACCCTAAACCCTCAGCTCAATTCCAGGCCAAGGGTCCCTGTGGGCAGGCGTCTGCCAGTTGATTGAGGCAGCCCGCCAAGAGGGAGGCCTCGGTCGCCAAAAACGCGGCGGTGTAGGGTTTAGGGTTAAGGGTTTAGGGTTGAGGGTTGAGGGTAGATGCGTGGAGATGAGGGAGAAAAGAACGCAGTTTGAATTTAAAAACGAAAGTAGACTACAACACAACACTGACAGCATGATGTAGAAGATATACTAGCGAAGCACTGTGACATTTTAAGACTATAACCATGTGAACATATAACATAAATATAATGACATGTTCATATAATGCCATAGTTGCAAAAGTACAAAAGCACAATGATACAGTAACAAGTAACGAAAACGTAATACAATAAGATAACAAGATTGTCGTATGATAGAATGAGCATGGAATAATGTAATTATACAATCATAAACTCGTATACTCATACGAACATAGAGTCATGGATTAGTATAGTTGTCTAGGGTTTAGATATTTACTAATCAAGCTACCTAATGATGATACAGTAACCTAGAAACGTAATAACATCATCATGTAATACAGCGCGTAGAGAGTCACGACAATAATGTTGAACACACATGATGAAAATAAAACAATCATGCAAGAACATATTACGTCTTCCTACAATGCGACGAAAACAACCTAAAATCACATACTCGTGTAATGTTATAGCTCTTCGCTTAAAGGGGTCTCCTGCTCCGGAAGCTTACTACAGGGTCAGGAGGCTAGTAAAGAGGCCAACTTTGGGATGCTCCCTCTTACACTAACAGTCCTTCACAGGGATTATAATAGGGGGTACTACAATCCCTATTAAGGATAGTATACGTCCTTAAATAGGGATTATCATAGTGTCATAGGGGGTACCATAATCCCTAATAAGGACTGTTCGTATAAGGGGGAACATCCGCCAACTGTCCGACCTGCTGCTTCGGCTAAACAGCCAAGGTGCGGCCGTCAGCGCGTGCTGCGCGTGCACGAACCTTGGTCGCTGCACATGTGCAGAGGGTGTCATCGCCCGGTTTGGGTTGAGACTGCAATCCCCCCAAACCCGAAACCCTACACCTAAACCCTACATCCTAAACCCTAAACTCTAAACCACAAACCCTTTTGAGGGCAAATCCTCAACCACCTGCCCCCCAAGAAGTACAGCATCGAACCTCCAGAGTATGAAAACCAGATCCTAGCGACACATCGGGGAGCTCCGATGGGGGCTCTCAACCCCGGTTCTTAGTAGGGAGGGAGGGAAGTAGGGGCCTAGAAATACCCTTCTTTAAGGGATTACATAAGGTTTAGGGTTTAGGGTTTAGGGTTTAGGGTTTGGGGTTCCGTCATCCGCTACTATGAACCAGCCAGTCAAGAAACCGCTACAGGTAGCAGAGTTTCCCAAGGGAAGCATCCGCTGACCCATGCACTCTCGAACTACCGACTACCTCTGCAGGAGGGCTGGCCCTGAACCAGATCATGGGCACACACATCTGAATATACTAAACCTAACAGCAAATGTTACACCTGAAATGCAGAAGCGAAGTGCGACAAGTGAGCATGTCCACAAGTATAGGTACGGTGGCTTCGTTCGGCGGGCCATCACCTGTGAAATGAAATCTGCCTGATGCTAAACCCTAAGCCTCTCTAAGGGTAGCTGCATGGTCCCTTAGTATGTGCCCTTAAAACGGGACCCCTTACATACCTCTTACATACCATAAACGACCCAAGGGCCACCCTTAGATTTTGCCTAAAGCCCAGTCATTTCCGCAATCTTGAAACCAGAAATTCTAAGCTCAACTCTCCACCCGCCTAGCTGATTGAAAGTCGCACCACCTTCGTTTAGGGTTTAGGGTTTGTAGGATTGTAGGATTGATAAACGATGCCAGCTTGCACCAAGGTGAGCTACAGGCCTTCCTATAGTCCTATTTAGAGGCTTTGGTTCACTGGTCTTCCCAAAGTCCTATTTAGAGGCTTTGGTTCACAGGTCTCCCTGAAGTCCTAAACCCTAAGCCCTAAATCCAAAAGTCCAGGGGGCAATGGCAGCCAATGCGTGAGGGGCTCCTTCCAGGCCGCACGTCGGAGGCCTTTCAAAAAAGCGGTGGGCAAATCCGTAGCCCCAGCCTTGGGAACCACATGAACCCTAAAATTGGGGTTTAGGGTTTAGGGTTTATAAGTTTAGGGTTTACCCTATACTACTATGATCCTTATGGGGGGTATATGAACCGTAGACCCTTTTAGGGTTCATGTGGTTCTCGAAGTTTTTAAGGAAATCCTAGAATCGTAGCCCCAAAAAGCCTAAACCCCAAAAAGGCTGGTTTCGGTTGCATGCACTTTGTGTGTTTTGTTGGATTTGTCGTTTGGGCGACAAAGGTCGCCCAGCTTACCATCTGCTCTCCCCAAAGAAATCCGAAACTCGAATTCATCGAGATAGGAAACTTGAAGCTGTCATGTCGAAGCCATGCTGAATTCGGCGGGCTGCAAGCACTAAACCCAAAGCCCTAACTGAGTTAAGGGGTGTTGGCGGGGCTCTCAGAGTTGGCCACAAACTCCCCCCTAAACCCTAAACCCTAAACCCTAAACCCTAAACCCTAAACCCTAAACCGCGGCACGCTCCTCCTTGCCAAGCAGTTTGGGAGACCGCGTCGAAGAATGCCTGGGTAGCCCAGCGTTTTGATAGGGACTTCTTCTTGCAGAGGGTTGAGCCTAAACCCTAAACCCTAAACCCTAAACCCTAAACCCTAAACCCTAAACCCTAAACCCTAAACCCTAAACCCTAAACCCTAAACCCTAAACCCTAAACCCTAAACCCTAAACCCTAACCCTAAACCCTTATGGGGTTTACGAAAAGAGGGGACCTTAATATAGACCCTCCAATAGTAGGATTCCCTCATAATAAGGACCCCAATAAGGTACTCCTGATTTCGGAAACCCCCATATAGTGTTGGGTTGTTGTTCTACGGTGGGGTGCGGAAGGGGGGGGGGCGGGGTGGGCGTAGTCTTCTACATAATGAAGACATCCTGTCTGTGGGCCTCAGTAGCCTTGCAAAGGAACCCTAAACCCTAAACCCTAAACCCTAAACCCTAAACCCTAAACCCTAAACCCTAAACCTTGGCTTCCCAAGGGGCTGTGAGCTTGGCAAGCCGGCCACGGCCCTGTGCACACACGCCGATGCCGATCACATCCTCGTCCGGCCCGATCCTCGGATCATGATCTTTTTTTCCATTGCGGGTAGGGCTTTAGGGTTTAGGGTTTAGCGTTTAGGGTTTAAAGTTTAGGGTTTAGGGTTTAGGGTCTACCTACTAATTGAGGGGTAGTTACTACTAAACTGTAGGTAACAAGAGTGCCAGGTATGGGTTCCTGCGGCAGCATCTCCGAAACCTAGGGTTTGGGGTTTTGGGTTGCGGGTAGTTTAGGGTTTAGGGTTTGGGTTTAAGATTCTTTTTCCAATCACAGGCCTGGGCCTAACGTTTCTTCTGGCCTTCCCCTCATGGCTGAACTGAAGTCCACTTTGCAGGGCCTACCTAGGACTCTTTTTACCTACAGTTTTTATGGGTTATGCCTACTAATTAAGGGGTAGTTGGAGCGCGGCGCGTATCTCGCCGTGTGGTTTCTTGCTTGGGGGGGTTTGGTTTCTTGTTTGGGGGGGGGGTGTGGGGGTTGGGGGGGGTGGGGGGGGGGGGGGGGGGGGGGGGGGATAATTCCGCCCTCCCTCTTGCAACTTGCCGGCATGTCCTCGGTCTTTTAGTGCTCCAGTTTGCAGGGTTTCGGGTTTCGAGTTTAGCCTTCATGTTGGGGTTCGGGGTTTAGGCCTCTGGCAAATCTGCAGATGCTAAGGCAACACCCAAAACCCTGACTTAAACCGTAGCCCTCCGACTTGCTAAACCCTAGACTACGGAATCCCGAAGCTGCCATGCTGGTGTTGGCCTGGCTGGCTGTGTCCCTCAGCCTGGCTATCGCTTTGAAGGACGATGCCGCTGTGATTTGTCGGTTTCCATGGTTGCCGCTGTGCAGCCTTGACGAGCTGCTTGCCCATCTGGAGCTGTTGACATGTCCGCACCCTTCAGGCGAAGGGGAATATGTCGCGCTGAAGGCCATGCTGACTGAAAGCCGCCGCGGCGGTCTGCCTTGGGAACAGCTTTTACTGGACAGGTATTTCCTTTCGGCTTTGGTCTTGGACAGGCTTCGCCGCGGGGCTTTCAGTGCAGCTACGAAGGATGTTGCAACTTGGTGTCAACGTCGCGTGGAAGCGTGCTACGGCCCTCTGTCCGGCTTTCCCGAGGCTCCGCTGCCGCACGTGTTGTGCCAGCAGCTGCGTGGCTTTGTGAGTAGCATGGATGCACGCCAGGAGGAAGCCAGGGCAGGCTCACATCTGGTCCCTTGTCCCGAGCCAGTGCTTGCCAGCGAGCCTCTATCCTTGGACTTGGGCCGCTCCGAGGCGAGGGATGCGCATGCAGGCTCACCTGTGCGCGTGAAGCGCCCGCCTGCGCAGTGCTACACGCCTTTGACCCCGCGGAATAGACTCCGCTTCGAGACCACGACAGTTGACGGGGACGTTAGTCCCCTGGCATTTGCAGACTCTCCGGACTCGAAGAGGTTCAAGCGCTGGTTTTTCGGCAAATACGATGGTCTCGACAGTCTCTTTCCTTCCAGTCAGGACTGGGCATGGGCGTTCTGTCTGTTGCAACTTCCTGCCTTTGCAATTGCCAGTTTTTACAGGACTTGTTGAGTGCTCCTTGCATTGTTGTGCGATCTGGCGCAGGACATGGTTGCGCACTCCGAGGGCTTGTCATCTTCGACCATGCAGGCCACAGACGTTTTTTGTTTCGCACAACTCTTCATGTCGGTTTGGCTGTCAGACGTGTGCCCCGTAGACCCGACGCCCCCCGGGCTTGTAGACTTGCCGAACACTTTCGCTCATGGTTTTTGCTCAGGGAAGTTTTTTCGGGCGCTGTGATATTGTTGCTTGCCACTCCTTCGGCTTATGTCGAGCGGCTCTGTTGCGGTATCACTGCGGACAATGTCTTCTCGTTCCGTGCCCATCATGGTGGCAGCCATTGAAGCAGTCTTACCGGATGTCGCCGCCAAGCAGCACTTCCTCAGCAACGACTTGCAGGCCGTCATCGCTGGTCTGGCATTGGTCCTCAAGGTTCTCACGGCGGATCGTGTCTTGGTGCGGTCCCAGCTGCACCACTACTTGGATGTGCTCGTTGAAGTTCGCTGTGCTTGTTTGGGTCTTCCACAAACGTCAGACTTCACAGAGCATCTTCCTCGCACGGCGGCCACTTGTGCTGGGAGCCTTCTCTTCAACATGCGCTTGCTTGTCGGCCCTGGGATAACATCCTTTGACATGACCCGTGTGATGCGAGATACTCTAGACATACTCGAACGTTTTCCAGGCATTTTTTCGTGCTGTTCTGACTTGCGCGAAGCTTGCCTGGTCATCTGCGGCTTGTGTACAGATGTTTGGGCCATTTCCAGGACCATGTCCCGCGAAGGCATCTGGGCACCGTGACATGTCTTGCTGCGCTCGCAACAGAAAGCTGGGGCTTTCTCTTGCCTGTCTCGTGAGTCCTGCTGTTATTCCTGAGTGTAGACAATATGCTGGCACAGGTGCTGCGGCAAACTCTCTCCCCGCCGCCAGGCACTGCGATCTCTCCTGACCCTTGCTTTCCAAAATGTTTTTGGAGAGGTTCCGCGCTTCCTTGTGCTGTAGGAATACTCGTGCTGCTTCTGCCTTGGGTGTATACCGCATGCACGATTAAGGCAATCGACAATGCCGCTCGAGACGACGATACTGCTGCGGCGAGCTCGTCGCCTGCGCCCGACCTTGACCTCTCTCAGGATTTCTCCTGTCGCAGAACATAACACCCTAGAGCCATGAACCCCACACCCTCAACCCTACACCCGGGTGTCACACTCTGAACCCTTCAGGACGACATTGAGGACTTCTCGGATGCGTCGGACGGTCCCGTGCGGCAGGCCGACCCATCTCTTCCTTCAGTTCTTCCTCAACCGCCTCTTCGCCCACGTTCTGACACTACATCCCAGGCGATTTGCAAGGGTTTGGGGTCTATAGGGTTCAGGGTTGAGGGTTTGGCGTCCAGGCTTTAGGGTCTAGGGTCTACCCTTCACCCTCGACCCTCTAGAAACCCTCCAATGTCTTTCCGCTCCGCAATGCAGGACAGACGTCGACCGGAGGTTGCGAACCTCCGTCCGTCCAAGTATGGACACTGCCCTCTCCATGCCATCGCTCGAAGGCCTCACGTTTTCGGCCCACGCAGCCAGAAAGCCGGGCGCGCAGCTCATGTCTGTGCGAAATTTTGGAAGCTGAATGCTGCCAACCAGAGACAATGCTGGCACTTCCAGCTTATCCCTGAAACAACTGTCCTTGAGGTATGGCCTTCTAAGTTCAAGGCTTGGTACTTCAGCTTAGAAAATCGCCTGGCCAGAGCTGGCCGATGACTTCCCGACCACTTGCTCTAACAAACGCTCAGCAGACGAAAGAGGCGGTCGAGCTGCCCCCTGTCCCCAGACCCTCGACCCTGAACCCGAAACCTCACCCCTCAACACCGCTCACGCCTGACGCCGTGCTTGGCCTTGCTGCACGCCAGGCTCAGGTAGGGTTGAGCTGTTCCACTTTCCCTAAACCATAAACCCTGAACCCTCAACCCTAAACCCTCAAGCCTCAACCCTCAACCCTAAACCCTCAACTCTGCACCCTTGCCTGGCCTCTCCTCCGTCTTAATGTAGCCATGGGGAAACCGACGCGGTCGCAAAAGAAGCAGACGCACCACTGTAGTCTCTGCGGCAGTGCGCGCCACCGAGTCGACACCTGCCCCTTGCCAGGTGCTCCAGCTTTCCGTGAGGCCAAGAAGACACTACAGAAACTACAGAAGCTGAGACCTGCAGGGAAGGTGCTGCGCCAGGAGAAGAAGGTGCGCAAGAGCCCTGCCAAGAGCAAGGACTACAAGGCAGCTGCTTCTAAGCGGTACACTCCAGCCGTGGACCTGGCGGACACAAGGCCAAGTGAAGCACGTCGTCGAAAGCCGCAGGCATCCGCCTGCCCCGACTCCGACCACGCGGCTGCGGAATGGTTGCTCTCCAAGAAGTGGGCTGCCAGGCCGACAACCTGCTCGCGCTGTGGCAAGCGCAAGCTCTCCCGCCTCTGCTGGCCCAAGCAAGGACTCCTCAACCCTAAACCAAACCCTAAACCCTAAACCCTCAGCCGTAAACCCTCGACCCTGAACCCTAGACCCTGAACCCTCGACCCCTCAACCCTAAAGCCCTAAACCCTAAACCCTACACCCTCAACCCTAAATTTACCCGCTTGAAATACCCCAGACGAGGAACGCCGCATTGGCGTTGCAAGTCCTGCGGCGCCAGGCACGCCTTCCTCAATGGAAGCATTTTCTACGGTTTGAGATGCTCGCTCTTGCTCCTCGTGCAGCTCCTGGACGCCTACATTCGCCTGGACCTCGCGAAGCTTCCTGCTGTGTGCGACTTGGTGCAGATGACGGCCGTTGGCCGCGTGACAGCAGAGCACTTCATCGCCTGCATGAGGTGCCTGGAGGCGAAAGCATATGAAGACTGGGCCGCAACACAGCGATTGTCTGGCAATGTGGAAGTGGACGGGACCTTCCTGACAAAGTTCCACATTAAGCACACTAACAAGCACTATGCCGACATGATCTTCACGCTGCAGGAAAAGCTCAGGAAAGCCAGGAAAAAAAGGCCTTCCAGTTACACAGTACACGTGATGTGCTTGGGGGCTCAGCCACGAGGCTGCCCGGCTCTGGTTTACGTGCCCCGACCCGTGGTGTGCATGCCTGGAAGTCGCCCTATCACGGAAACCCGTGCTCAGATCGAGGCGTCCAAGCTGCTTGACAAGGTCGACAAGCGGAAAAACCGCACCATCATCTTCGCGGATGGCAACAAATCATGGAAGTTTGCCTGCGCAGATCGTGGACTCCGACACGAGGCAGTTACCCACCAGACGAAAACCTTCGTGAAGCCTGTCAAGAAGGCAAGCAATAAAGCTCTGAGTACTCTTGCGGGGACTCAAAGCTTAGACCGTTCCTGGCTCTCCTTAAAGACCTGGCTCGGGACTTCTCCGAAAGCCAAAGGCAGAATAGAGAACCACACGTGCTTGCGGCCAGAGTTGACACAGCAAGTGTCACAGTGGGCCTGGCGCAAAAGCTTGCCAAGGCCACTCACTGCTTCTGTCTTGCAAGCGGCACTGCAGCAGCTGAAGCGAGTTTGAAAGACCTCTACCTGCAACCCCCTCTCCCCGTAGATCCCCCCAACTGGCTGCCGCAGCCCTGAACCCTGAACACAGAATGTTCACACCTGTAGGCCCTAGGGTTCAGGGTTTACGGTTACCCTTCACCCTTAGAACTTCAAAAGCTGAACCCTAAACCCTTCAAACCCTGAACCCCTCAACCCCACATCCTTCGAGTCCCAGCCCGCCAGGAACCCCCGAAGGGGCCTCTGAGTCTCCAAACCGATTGAGCAATCCGCCCTATGGGCTTGGGGGGTTAGGGTTTAGGGTTTGGGGTCTTAGGGTTGCGGTCTCTGAATTGGAGGTTCAGGGTTGAGGTTTTCCCAAAACGTGCTTCCGGAAATCCTGCAGAATCCTGAAGCAACCTTTCCTCTAAAGCCCTACCCCTTAGAACATCCCTCAGCCCCTAAACTCTAAACCCCTCAAAGCCCTGAAATCCTTGAAAACGGAAAGTAGTTTTAGGCATTTCAGAACTCTTAAAAATGTGTGAATTCCCTAGGCGAAAACACTGAAATACGTGTTTCCCCCTTAGTGTGCCGTTCATAACCCGCTCCCACCTCTCAGAAGCCGAGTACCTGGTAAATACCAGCATTTAAGCCAATTCCAGCCATATTACTATTCACTCTCTGCACGGTAACGCACGGCGAGATATGCGCCGCGCACCTAGTTGCTACTAAACTGTAGGCAAATAGGGTCCCAGGTATGGCATATTCGGAGTACTTGTCACTGCACGCCAAGACCTATCCGAGAGGGCATTCCAGACTGCCGGAAACCTGTCAGCTCGCACCCCTAACAACCACACACCGTAGTTTAACCGCGAACACACAGGCATCGGCTGAACAATTAACTTGGGGAAGTACAGATATATATATATATATATATAGTGTGTGTGTGTGTTTTGCCGCGGGGGATTCTCCAAGGGTTTAGCAATAACCCCCATAAGCCAAATTTTGATATTTGACAAGGAATAGTATAATAAATAGGGTCTCCTGTTTAGAGGTTGCCGTCCGCCATTTTTGCGCGGGAAATCAGCCGCATGCACCTCAACAGAGGGCTCGACGCGCCCCCTCACAAAAGAACAGAAGGTCCCACAAACCCCACATACACATAAGGATGCTACAAACAGGTTTTTTTTCGGAATCCCCCTTCTAGGGGCCCTTATACCCCAAGAGTAGGATCCTTAAGTTTATGTTGCCTTTTCTTGGCACCAAAGTACAAACCTTACGGGGCTGAGTGGCGCAAATGCGTGTGGACAATCGTGTGGTATATAGTACCACCAGGCAGGCGTACTGCGTCTTAGCACGTTACGAGGTCAGAGAGAACGAAGCCCGAGGTACGTACCAAAGTCTTCCAAGATCCCTTAATTAGGGAATATACCCCAAATTCCTAGTTATGATCCCTAGTATCAAACAGGGTATATTCCTGAATTAAGGGGGTTTTGGGAAGATCTGGGTAACTAAACAAGTCCCACGCCTCCAGCCTGTGACACCCTCGAATTCAGCCAAAGAGTCTTCTCGTGGAAGCACTGGACTTCCTGAGCCTCCCAGAAGAGGGGCGCCTGGCCAGCGCTTATATGGGGAGATTTTGTTACACACCTAAAGGCTCGTGAAGCATTCATGGGCCGCCTATTTCGGGGGTATTTCTGCATGTATCTTAGCTCATGCCCTAGATCTCTCCTGACCCCATGGGGGGGGGGGGGGGGGGATATGTAAAGTATCATAGAAAGGAGCTCGGGGTCTCTGGGCCTACCTGCCGCTCGAGCATGGTTTGCGGTGTTCGGGGGCTTAGTTCGGCTGCCAATTCGCCTACCTCTCACACGTGGTTCGAGGTCTACGGAAACCTACATTTCTGCAGCCTCTTATGGCAAAACCCATTATAGCACTAGGTAACTTTCCACAAGGTACGTTTGGGGTCGGTCCTTGAGGTAGGTCGCATATAGGGTAAGAAAGGTCGCCCTCGGGTGTTTTCCAGGTTTTTGGTGCCTAATGAGCCTCGCGTTGGGCCCTGCTTCGGGGCTTCTGTGCACGTCCAGGCTGTTTCGGGTTTCGGGTTTCGGGCTTAGGTTTTTTTTTTCGCTCCCGCATAGCTGGCTGAACCGCAGGCAGGGTTGATGGTTTGGGGTGTAGGGTGTAGGGTTTAGGGTTTAGGGGCTCTTATGCGCTGTAGGTGGAAACCAGACAGTGCAACGCAGTCGCAGGCCTGAGCCGTTTCCTGCCAAGCCGGGACGGCATAGGCCAGTGAAAGGCGGTCGTGTCGACGCAGGCAGGACATGACTTCGATCACGACAGCCTTTTTAGGGTTTAGGGCTTAGGGTTTAGAGTTTAGGATCATGACTCAGATCTTCCAAAACCCCTTAATTCAGGAATATACCCGAATTTATACGAAGGATCAAAATTATAAATCAGGGTATGGGGTCTTGGAAGATCTGGGGAGCTTTCTGAAACTGCGGCTTCATCCAGGCTCGGCAAAGTTTTGAGGGTCAGGGGTTTACTTGGGAACGGCTCCTAACCCTAAACCCTAAACCCTAAACCCTAAACCCTAAAGCCCCAACCGGCAAGAAGCCGCCGGCCAGTCTGCCAAGTAGGCCATCCTCTGTATCGCTCCGCCGAGGAGAGGACGTCGGACGGCAGACCCCGAGTCAGCCTTTAGGGTTGAGGGTTTAGGGTTTATAGGGTTTAGGGTTTGGGGTTTAGGGCTTAGGGTTTAGGGTTTAGGGTTGGTTCTTTGGAGGGCTACTGCGGACCTTCGTCTGCTGACTGCTGTTATCGCACGGCCATTCTGCCTACGGCCTCAGCCTGCTGTTTCGGGCGGCTGGAGTTGCTCCCCTACCTTTTGAGGTCGGGTCAATAGAATCCCTAAACCCTAAACCCTAAACCTTCCATAGAATAGGTGCCGGGGTGCCAGGACCGCCCTGGCTGGGCGGGACACCTGCATGACCTCCCGGAAAGGCATCCGACAGATGGGGCAGCACCTCGAGGTCAGCTTCGCTGCGCAGGGCAGGTGGAAGTAGTGTGTGCCTTAAGGCTTCCAGTGACCCAGGGGAAAAAAAGGTACATACTTTTTGGGCTACTTACCTAGTATAGGAAACCCAGAACCCAAAAAGTAAAAAGACTATACTAATTACTCAACAGCCCAGGTGCAGACTGGTGTGCCGTGCTCGCAGAGCTGTGCCAAAGGTCGTGCAGCGGGCGCGCCGGCAAGTGGGCCCCTAGCTTCATCGTCCAGATCCCCGAGGCAAATGACGCAAACACTTCCCAAGCAAGCCGAGGGCAAGGGTGCTGAAGCCGGAGCATCGTCACAGTCGATTGCGTTCGGGAACGCCGGACAATGAGGACCGGTAGCCTGATGACCGCACTTGCACTTGAAGCCTTCATGGTGCTCGACCATGATTTCAATGGCCTCAGGGCATCCGACACACTAGGGGGGGGGGGAGGGGCGTTTCGGCCCAAACTCCCAAATCTAGGGTTTAGGGTCCCGGGTCAGTACCCCAAGCCATGAACCCTGAGTGCCTGCCCACGAGGATGGTCACAAAGCTCGCAGCGTCGGTTTTTCTTCTGATTGTGAAGGGTGCACCTTGGGGGTATTGGCACGCCTATATATATATATATATTGCATCTATATTCATTTACATTAATATTTATATTTATATGTATATTTATTGTTATATATATATATATATATATCTCTCTCTCTCTCTCTCTTTGTTGTGAAGGGTGCACCTTGGACACTTCCACCATTCGGAGCCATCGCCCTCGAAGAAGAAGGTCTGCAACTGGCGGAGGATGGCCAGCACACTGTATGCCTTAGTTGGGTCTAGGGTTTAGGGTTTAGGGTTTAGGGCTTAGGGCTTAGGGTTTAGGGTTCACGGTTTAGGGTCTAGGGTTTAGGGTTTAGGGATTATACTATCCCAAAATGTGTAAAGTGTACTCACTCAGCTACTAAGATGCGCTGCTCCAGCCCATGTAGGGCTTCCTCTTCCTGGCAAAGCAGACTCAGGCAGCCTAGCGCCCTAAACCCTAAACCTTAAACCCTAATTAAGCCGAAACCCTATACAGCCTTAATAAACCCAACGACAACTGGAGAGGCGAACTGTGCTGCTGCAATTAACTCACATCGTTGTCCGAGCAGCTCTTCATCGGCCGCCCATTCTCCCCCTTCCAGCATATCCAAGCCTGGGTTGTGCTTTAAGCCCTTTGAAAATTGTTTGTGAATAGGTTATATAAGGAAAGAAGGGAAATGTAAAATATCCCAATGCACAAGCCAGAAGCAAATGAAGGTGGAGAAGACGTTCGGATGCTGCACTGTGCTCCCCAGCACATGCACGCGCGGAGGTCGCATGGGGTATTCCTTCCGAGCTACGAATGCGTTGGGGCGTTTTGGGGGTTAACCCATGTACTCCCTGCCCATGTCCCAAACAGCAGATGCGCCGGGCTCTGCAGCCGAGCAGCTTGGGTGAAGGTCAGCTCTAGGTGCAGAATCCTTTGCTAGCAGGCGCCTCTTTCCAAAGCACATGAGGACGTAGATGCAAACGGCGCTCCCCAAAAACAACCGCCCTACATCCTCGGGATCCCAAGACCCCCAAGCCTCCTGGTCTGCGAGTTCCTCTTTTCTATGCGGAATCCTTCATCAGGTTAAGGGCCGTGCATCCTGAAATGGCCTGGTGGGCAGGGAAAGCCCCAAGAGTGTGCCCTCAAATGGAGAAAGCAAGACCAAGACCTGGAGGCTTGACACCCAAACGCCCCAACCATCCGAACCCAGGAGAAGCCCAAAACCCTAAACTCTACACCCAACTCCCCACCATAAGCGCTAAACCATTTTTGTCCAAACCCAGGCTCTGAGCATCAGCTGGGAACCCTATAAACAATAAACCCCAAACCCTGAACCCTAGATTCTAAACCCTAAACCCTAAACCCTAAACCCCGGCTCTTTCAGGCCAGCCGCACTGGGGAGCCACCGCCAGGCGGCTGCCCGGCCACGTTGCAGTGCCACGTGAAGAGGTCATCCTTCACGTCTTTAGAGTTCGTTCACAAGGCTTACAGGCTTTAGAGTTAGTTCACAAGGCTTGTAGGGTTAGGGTTTAGGGTTTAGGGTTTAGGGTTTAGGGTTTAGGGTTTAGGGTTTAGGGTTTAGGGTTTAGGGTTTAGGGTTTCGAGTTTATACAGGGGCCAGGGCCTGCACCCTGTACAGCACTCGACTGGAGGGTGCCTCGGGCCTAGGTCGCTTTGGGTTTGGGGTATAGGGGCCAAGTCGGGCCATGGCTGGCCAGAGAAACAGGTTAGGGTTTAGGGTTTAGGGTTTAGGGTTTAGGATTTAGGGTTTAGGGAGAATCTCTATAGGCAAACGGGTGTGCGTGTCAACCCCCCAGTGGTTTCATGGTCAATCCTTCTTGCCTCAACCCTTGAATGCAAGGCGCCATAAGCTGCAAGAAGGCTACCCCAAGCTAAATTAGGGATCGGAATAATTTCTAATCGTATCCCCTCATAGTCCCCCTATGTATACATATACATATACATACATACATACATACATACATACATACATACATACATACATACATACATACATACATACATACATACAATACCCTCTGTAAGAAGAAACAGGTCTCCTCTACAGGCGCGGCGGAGACCTTGGCAAGCTGGAAAGCTCTTCTCGGCTTGGAGCGATCTTGAGCCGACTGAAGCTCCGCAAAAAGTGCGGGAAGAATCCTAAACCCCGAACTGGCCCTAAACCCTAAACCCTAAACCCTAAACCCTAAACCCTAAACCCTAAACCCTAAACCCTAAACCCCTAAACCCTAAACCCCTAAACCCTAAACCCCTTGTTCAGTCAGTGCCCAGGACGCACTCCGCCGAAGCTGGTAGTTTATGGCCGAGGGCTCACCCGCAACCCTAGGTCAGATTTTTGGATATTAGGGGCCAGGGTTTTAGGGTTTAGGGTTTTAGGGTTTAGGGTTTAGGGTTTCGGGTTTAGGGTTTCGGGTTTAGGGTTTCAGGGTTTCTCCAGTTTGGGGTTTAGGGGTCAAGACGTCCAGTAAGGCCAGAAATGCGAGTGGCTGAGTGGAGCACTATCCTAAACCCTCAGCCCTAAATCCACAGTTGGTTGGGGCACGGACTTTCTGACTCAAGCCTCTTGAACCCTTAACCCTAAACCTAAACCCTAAACCCTAACCCCAAACCCTAAACCCTAGGAGTCCGAACTTTTGGTTCAGCCGTGCCGCGCCCCAGCTGGGCTCGCGGTGGACGAGCTGCAGCTCCCGCTGAAGGCGGCGCGCTGCGGACGAGACGCTGGTGGACATGGCTGCTTTCGGTCGATTTTGCTCTTGAGGGTTGAGGATATAGGGTTTAGGGTGAGGGGGGATAAAGTGCATGTGCACGTGACAAGATTGGAGTGTACACATATTCAGTGTCGTTGCGATCAAAAAAAGATTCCGAAGTTTGCATGAGGTGGGTTGGTAGGTGGGTGTGGCGAACCAGTTGGCAATCGCCATTGAGCCGGAGAAATGCACAGCACAACACCTCGTCACGCGCAGATCAAGCGAAAGGTGGAGCTCAAAAAGCAAGGGTTTAGGGTTTAGGGTTTAGCTACGCTTTAGGGTTTAGGGCTTAGCGACGCCGGAATTCCAGCCAAGAGGCCCGCTCAGCACGACTGGTTGCCCTTAACCACCCTTTTAGGGTTTAGGGTTTAGGGTTTAGGGTTTAGGGTTTAGGGTTTAGGGCAATTAAAATCCAGTCACTGGAAAAGTCTATGCTCATTCGACTCCGAGCACTAGATCGCCACCACGCTGAAATCCCACATGCCCCAAAAACATGAAAGCTGAGCCATGGTCTAGGTTGGGTCGATTAAACTTTCTGAAACAATAGTAGTCCAAAATAGGACACTCTTAAGCCTGATAAGGGAATAACAAACCACCAGGGCCTAGTCAGAAGCAAAAGGCTTCTGAGCTACCAGCTGTTCTTCCGAAGCTTCTTGGACACATCTGCCTCTTCTGGCAGGTAGCGCCTCAACGAAGCAGGTTTTCATCTAGGGCTTGCAGCGTTGCAGGGTCTAGGGGTTTGGGAAGGTGGGCTGAGGGTTGCGGAGTGGGTTTAAGAAGGGACCTTTTTTTGCACTCCTGCTTGGATCCTTGCTCCGGCTGGGTAGCATGGGTTTAGGGGTTTTCTTGCCGCCCGCATTGCCCACAAACTTCAGGGCTTTGGGTGTAAGCTGGTTTAAGCCACTCATTTTCTGAGACGATTTTGCACATCCAGGCCTCTTGAAGCATGCCGGGGGAAGGAGCACCCTGGACCCCTAAAGAGCCGATAACCCCTCTAATCCCTCTAAACCCTATAAACCCTATGAACCCTATAAACCCCAAACCCTAAAAGGGGGCCCTTCTAAGCCCAATAAAGCAAGCCGACTCCCCGATGTTGAGGCCTCAAAGCCTCTGACTGCTAAACCCTAAACCCTAAACCCTAAACCCTAAACCCTAAACCCTAATCCCTGAGTCAGGGCTCTTCAAGAGCGCCGTCTTCTCCTCCGAGGTCAGTGCCTTCGGCTCCTTTCTCCCACAAAACGCAGAAGCTATAGGGTTGGGGTTTAGGGTTTAGGGTTTAGGGTTTAGGGTTTAGGGTTTAGGGTTTAGGGTTTAGGGTTTAGGGTTTAGGGTTTAGGGTTTATAGGGTTTAGGGTTTAGGGTTTAGGGTTTGGAGATTAATTGAGTTTTTGTAGTGTTTATTGTAGGGTTTACGATTTAGGGTTTGTAGGGCTTCGGCTTTCGGCTTTTAGGGCCTTATAGGGTTTTTAGGGTACCGAAACCCTACCTTGCATGAGCTACGTGCCCTTCAAAAACGGCTTGCCGTTCTGTTAAGATACAGGGTTGCTGTAGGTAGACCTCAAGCAAGACTTGGTAGGCATCGATGGCTTCGGGTTCTTACTCTGCGGCAGGGACCAGAAGTCTCGGAGCTTTAGGATTTCAACGCCACGTGCTTTGGCAGCATTTGGGCGTTGCTGGTCCCGCACATACTTCGTGATGAGGTTTCAAAGGCGGATAAGTCGATATTGTTCAGGGTGCATCGCTTTGGGATTTCATCCTGCAATCACGTTAGGCACGGAATCCTTGTACACACTGTTGAATGCCGAAGCCAGGCACCAATAGCCCAACATTAAGGCAGAGAACTTCGCATTAAAAAGCCAACACTGAAGAAGCAGCCTTCAACATGTGCCCGGATGATGCCCTAAACCCTAAACCCTAAACCCTAAACCCTAAACCCTAAACCCTAAACCCTAAACCCTAAACCCTAGACCCTACTAAACTTGTTGGTTAGGTCAGCTGCTTGAGCCCGACCCCCCCCCCCCCCCCACTTTTTGCAGGTATGGCTTGGGATGTTCCTCCCTAGACTGACAGTCCTTAATAGGGATTGTAGTACCCCACCTCCACTTTATATTCACTGTCAACGACTGTTAGTATAAAGGGGAACATCCCAAGGCCTGGCCATGTTCAGCACACCTTGTACACACACACCTTGTACACACACACACACACACACACACACACAGACAGACACACACAGACAGACAGCCAGCCAGACAGACAGACAGACAGACACTTAGGTATACTTATGTTGCTGTACGCAACGTACCTATGCATGCAACCGAATAAAGAAACACAAAGTTCATGCACAATACAAGTAAACACAAGTGTACAAAAAAACAACTCTATTCAACTCTATCTACACATATATACACATTGCTAGTAGTCAATGTTATACGGTTTCAACCCTACACCAACATAATCAATGTCACACGGTTTCAACCCTGCACCAACAAGAACGAACTGCACAATGACTCGTTGCTCCTTCGCCACTGCTTCCGAGCGAATGAGGTTGGCCTTTTCTCCACCATGTCTTCGTAGATCCTTCGCGAGGTTCAGGGTTCACCGTTTGTGGCCCGACCTATCCCGCTCATGTATCTGTACTAAAAGTTACTGAGGGGCTGAGGGGCTTGCACCACGTGTGTAAAACATACGGTTATAGAAGTACAAGGTTGACGCAGACGCGCACACACACCACACACGCGCAGCTGCTTTAAGGGTACTTCAGGGTGTGGAGGTGCATGGGGTCATGTCTGCGGTGCTACTCGGGGATGCAAGCCCCTGGAGATCAAGAGGTCGCCCTAAAGCATGGCTTTCAGGTGTGGGCATAGTAACCCTAAGCCCAAAAAAATAGACCCTAAAACCCTAAAACCCTCACTTAGGTGTACGAAGGGATGTTACACCCCTGGTCATGCGGCTCTGGCATCCTCACCCATGGGCTCTCCCCGTGCGGATCTGTGCGGCAGAATAGTACTGTGCGGGCACAAGCTGGGTAGCCAGGCTTTTTCTGTTGGGGAAAAGGGGCTCCAGGTTTACTCCAAACTCAACTCACCACCACACACAGGTTTGGTCACCCAAGGCGTTGAAAGTTTAGCCCGCCCAGGCTGTCGGAGGCTCAGTTCCCCTAAACCCTAAACCCTAAACCCTAAACCCTAAACCCTAAACCCTAAACCCTAAACCCTAAACCCTAAACCCTAAACCCTAAACCCTAAATTCAGTTCAAGCTGCGAAGGGCAGGGGATTACAGGGCCAAAATGGAGGCTCAAGATCCCACCCCTGAGGCCCTGGCGTTCACGTAGTGCTCCATCGCCTGCGGTTTAGGGTTTAGGGTTTAGGGTTTAGGGTTGGCCTTTCTAAAGCCGTCCGGAAATGAGGTCCTCTGAACTTAGGAGTTTAGGGATAAGTAGATAAGGCTTGAAAACCTAAACCCTACATCCTATAAGCCCTGCATCCGTAAAGAACCAAATCCAAAAGTCCAAAAGGGAAAGATGAAAACATGGCAACTTGCCCGCATGGGCAAGTTACACCTCACGAAGTTTCATCGTACGGTCTTGGACGAAAGTGTTGTTGAATCATGGATTCCATTACACAGCTGAAGTTTACCACTATGTATGCCAGCGTGACGGCCTCGACCCAAACGAAAGGCCTTGGGTTTTGTAGGGGTTTAAGGGCCCAGGGCAGCCATTTAATTTCTTGGGACCTTTTGTGGTCCATGTTTATACTACTACGGCCCCAAAAGGTGCCTTACTGGGGTCATTATTATTTGGGGATCCTACTATTTGGGGGTCTTTCTTGGGGTCCGGGGTCACCCCCCATATTCTTTTAAAGGTACCGAAAGAGGCGAACATGATCTTGAGAATGGACTCTTGACCTGCAAGACCCAAACCCTAAACCCTAAACTCTTGACCCTAAACCCTAAACCCTAAACTCTTGACCCTAAACCCTAAACCCTAAATCCTAAACCCTAAACCCTAAACCCAAAGGGCCTGCTTGGGGAGTTTTGGTGGCGTGGTCCGCCGGAAGGCGTGCTTCACCGTGCCAGAGAGGCGGAGCCTCAGTGGGTTCAAGGGGTTTGGGTACAATCTCGAACTAACAGGGAATCTAGGTAGGGCCTGTAGCCTATGAGACATGTTCCTAATTACTTCCTCATAGCGCAAGAGGATCTCAGTCCAAAATGGTCTATATACAGAGCCAACCGCAGATTGTGCGCTAGTTCATGGTTGCGTCTGCCAGAGTTAATGTACTTATGATTCGGGGCATGATTGATCTCAATACTTTTTTGGCATTGCAATTATCAAGAAGCACCACAATCTGATCCCAAAAGTAAGATTCTGAAATGCATTCCATGCCGGCTTGGCAAATATGACTAAAATTGCTTTGTCTCTGACATCAATGACAGGAATCCATAATGACCTGCTGTATATTTGGGTTCTAACAGTATTGGTGTTCAACATCAGAAAAGAACGTGCAGAGCATTCTTTGGAGAATATTTGTAATTCTGTTGATTTTCTTGTTCTTGTTATACATTATACGCATTTTCCTTAAGCCATATCATCGATACATTATGTGAATATTATTGTCTTTTCCCCATGTTCATACATGACTTTGAGTACTTGTTCCATCCTGTTTTGTCCTTACATGCAACTTCTGAAATTTCCAAATCAAAAAGGCTTTGCAGCTAGAAATTGTCATTCATTATGCAATAGAATTGGTGGAACGAACATTATGTTCATGAGGGTTTAGTATAAACAAGACCTAGATTGCAAGGAGGGGCCCCCGTAGTTATAAGTAGACCCTAAATTGGGTTATAAGGATCCTAACTTAGGTCATAGGTCCCTTAACTATAATTAGCATAGTAAGGGGGCCCCTCCTTGTAGGACACAACAACATACAACATTCTTCATCACCGGCAACTGTTATGGGATTGAGGTTGAAGGCCTGAGGCC